TCAAATGTAAATATCTTAATTATTTCTTAAGATAAGTATGAATCTCGGAGTGAATCCGAAACAATCTGGGGAGGGATTTGAATCGGCCACGTGTTAGCTGATGGGTGGTCTCATCTCACTATTCATAGGGAGAAGTTGCTCAATATGTGGAAGAGAGAAAAGAAGAAAGGAAAAGAAAGAAAGAAGAAAGAAAAGAGAGAGGGAGAGGTACGTAAATAAGTTGGGTTAGCGGAGTAAGGCTAAGGGTCACTATTAAGGTGAGTTATACTATACCTTGAGTTACCAAAATGCATTTTATTTATGTTTTGACTTATCAAAATCTATTTTATACAAGTTATATTTTATTAGTATAGTAATAAAAGTTATGTTTTATAAAGATTTCAGTTACGTGATTTTATTTCTGAACCCTATTTGCTTAAAAAGAAACACATGGATATGTTTGTTTTTATTTTAAGGAATATTTGGCTATAACCTTATGTGAAAATATGTTTTGTGAATACCACCACGGGAGTCCCATGCCTTGGGGGACTTAAATAACCATTGGCTTAGTGATTGACCACTTTGTGGCCCAGTGTTTGTCATGGATCCATTGACCAGTGTAGTGCTAGTCACTTAGTGATGTACCGTGGTTATAGTGATTATTTCAGTTTCTGGCACTTAATTAAATTGTGTATTCAACTCAACTCAATTTATAATGTTTTAGCTTAAATAAATATCCATGGCTATTTTGTGCCCTCATAGTATAATATTTTTCACTCTGCTATGTGCTTATAGCTGTTACCCCTTTCAGGTGATGAGGTTTAGCAGGATCAAGATGGAAAATAAATCGCTATGTTATTTTGTTTTTTTTAGATTTCTGTCTTCTATTATTAAACTCTTGTAATACAATGAAGCTCCAATGACTATGTTTTATTACCTTTTAAATAAACAGTTGATACTCAGTTACTTATTTTAATTTATTTAATTTATCCGTTTGCGCTGTAACTACAGAATTATCCGAATTACCTTATTTTATTTTATTTATCTTGTTACGACATTAAACCTTTGGGTACCGGGTTTGGGTCGTGACAAAAGTGGTATCAGAGCAATGGTTTTTTTTTAAAAATAATAATAATAATAATAATGAATAAAGAAATAAATAAATGAATAAAAAAAAATGTATCAAACTTGCATTATTATGTGACATGTCTAACGCATATAAGTCATGTTATATATATGTCTAGGCTAAGTTTTCTTGTGTTGTAGGACATGGCAAACCTATTGGAGCTATTCTGGTACGAGCCCCCAGAAGCTCATCTCCTCCCGAACCAGTTAGAGGGCTGGGGTGACTCAGAGAGTCTGGTCAGGCAAGCCCATCCAACACTTGACCATCTCATGGAAAGATCCGTTTACTTACAGGCTGACCCCGATGAGGACTTATTATTCTGGAGACTTAGCCGAGATAGCACCCGCGAAAGGTACATAGGACCAACCCACGTTGTTGGTCTTGCTCCAGATATAGAACCACCACATTTTCTGGTCGCACCTTTACCCGTAGGCTTTGCAGAGAGGAGGGGACCCACATATCCTAGTAGCCACCTTCGCACCACGACACCACCTCCCCAGCACATTGTCTATACCCCAACTGTGGACTTTACCGACGGTGCATCATACCTGGAGACACCGATACGGATTACTGGACGGGAATTCTGGGGTTATGATCACGGTGCTCCTGTTTACGTGGTTCAGATAGTATGGAGCTGCTTCGGAGTTGAGCTTAGTGGGTGGGAGTTTGAGTCCAGCATGCAAAGTGAGTTTCCGAAGTTGTTTCATGGACTAGTTTTCCGAGGCCAGTTCCCCTGATGGCCTAATGGATCATTTTAGATATCTGACTAGAAGACCCTTTTTGTGAGCTGACCATGAGTAGTCTAATCTTTTTGTATTAGTAGGATTAGACATTGATTGTGACCGCCAGACTGACACCTTATATATGGTAACAATGATGTATCTGGTATTAATGTGATGCATATGTGGTAATGTTAACATGATGATAAGGTTATTATATTATATATAAAGGTGGTGATATTAATAGCAAAACTAATATGATATATACAAATGTGGTAATAATAGAACTAATATGTTATATATGACGTTATATCAAAATTGTTTCAATATGATATCACGCTTACATCATTTTATCTTGTAGTAATGGCCAACGAAGAAAACGAAAACGGATCATCAGTCAACGGTACCATCCCAACGGAACAGATCATGGAAAGGGCAGTCACCAACTTTTTACAGGCCTTGCAAAGCAGCATAACCAATGGGACAGTAGAAAGACGAGAAGGATAGACTACGATCAAACAATTTCAAGATCTGAAACCCACCACATTTATCGGCAGTCCAAACCCACTAGTAGCAGAGGCTTGGGTCAGGGACATGGAGAAAATCTTCCGCGCACTACCTTGCACAGAAAGACAGAAGGTGACTTTTGCCACCTTCACCTTCAAAGACGATACACAGGAATGGTGGCTCCTTACCTTGGAAAATGAAGATATTGTGACTTGGGCGAGGTTTTTAGAAGTATTCTATGAAAAGTACTTTCCAGATTCACTACGGGAACAAAAAGCGTCAGAATTCATACATCTAAGGCAAGGAACCATGGCAGTGGCCGAATATGAAAGTAAGTTCACACAGCTGGCACGGTTCGTGACATATGCCATTCCCACCGAAGCCCGAAAGGCCAGGAAATTTGAAGCAAGGTTGGATCCTGAAATTAAGGACAGGCTGGAGGTTCTAAAACTACCAACCTACGCGGCGGTGGTAGATCGAGCGTACATTGCGGAAAAAGGAATTAAAGCTTTGCGATCTGGGGAGCCAAGTCAGAGGAAGCGATTTTGGGAAAGAGATAACAGAAGGCCCAATGTAACTCCTCCCAAAAGAATAAATACAAGCACAACCAGTTCAACCAGTCCAAGCAATCAAAGTCCTACAGACCCTAAAGGTGTCGTCATTCCAACTTGCTCTACCTATGGAAGAACTCATTGGGGACCATGTCGTCAAGATACGAGAGCATGTTTTAGATGTGGCCAAGTTGGCCATTTACTGAGAAATTGTCTAAAACTCGTCCGCCCCTTTGAACCAGTCCGAAAACCCGCAGTACCTGAAGGAGCGAGAAAAGACCCAAAACGCCAAGGAAGAGCTTTTGCCCTGGTGCCTGGAAACCCAGAAGTTACTGAAAATGTTATGTTAGGTACACTCTCTATTTGTGGTCACTTAGCCCATGTTCTCTTTGACTCTGGTTCAACCCATTCTTTTGTTATACCACACTTTGTTACCAAGTTAACGCCAATACCCGAACCCTTAGGATACATACTATCTGTGTCTTTTCCCTCTGGAAATTCCGCTCTTAGTACTGATGTATACAAATCTTACACTGTATCCTTAAAAGGTGAAACCTTACACGTAGACTTGATACCCCTTGGCATTAGTACCTTTGATGTAATCTTAGGAATGGATTGGCTAGCTGCTAATCGTGCCTCTATTGATTGTAAAGCCAAAAAGGTGTTCCTCAGGTCACCAAACCAACTCGAGCTTGTCTTCGAAGGAACTAGAGCCTTTCCCCCTCCCTGTATTATATCCTTCATAACAGCCCAACAACTGCTAAGAAAGGGTTGTTGTGGTTGTATCTGTTATGTAATTGATACTCAACAAGAGACCCCCACACTTGATGCGATCCCCGTAGTTCGAGAATTTCCGGATGTGTTTCCTAAAGACCTGCCTGGCATCCTAGTTGATCGGGAAATCGAGTTCACCATTGAAACTTAACCTGGTACCCAACCAATCTCAAAGACCCCTTACCGCATGTCCATGGCAGAATTGAAAGAACTAAAAACTCAACTCCAAGAATTACTGAATAAAGGCTTCATCCGACCAAGTACTTCACCATGGGGAGCTCCGGTGCTGTTCGTAAAGAAAAAGGATGGTACAATGAGGTTATGTATCGACTATCGAGAACTAAATAAAGTCACCATCAAAAATCGGTACCCCTTGCCACGAATCGACGACTTGTTTGACCAACTGCAAGGCGCCCAAGTGTTCTCAAAAATTGACTTCCGATCTGGTTACCATCAACTAAAAGTTAAAACGGAAAGCATCGAAAAGACTGCCTTTAGGACCCGTTATGGGCACTACGAGTTCCTTGTCATGCCATTTGGCATCACCAATGCTCCAGCGGCCTTTATGGACCTCATGAATCGAGTGTTCAAACCCTATCTTGACGAGTTCGTCATTGTCTTCATTGACGACATTCTCATATACTCCAAATCGCCAGAAGATCATGAACACCACTTGCGAAAAGTCCTACAGACATTACGTGATCACAAACTTTATGCCAAATTGAAGAAATGCGAATTCTGGATCACTAGTGTACACTTCCTCGGTCACGTCATTAACAAAGATGGCATTTCAGGCTGTATCTTCACTTCTCTAGACAAGCATATGGGCAATCCGAAAGAACAATCCAAACGTTGGAAGACATGTTACGTATATGCGTGTTGGACCTCAAGGGTAACTGGGATGAGCACCTACCTTTGGTGGAATTCGCCTATAACAACAGCTACCAGGCAAGCATTGGAATGGCACCGTATGAAGCTCTGTATGGAAGAAGATGTCGATCACCTCTGTGTTGGACGGAGGTCGGGGACAGGAAATTGTTAGGCCCCGAAATCGTGCAATTCACTAGTGAGAAAATCCAACTCATTCAACAGCGAATTCGCACCGCTCAGAGCCGCCAGAAAAGTTATGCAGATACTCGAAGACGAGACTTGGAATTTCAAATAGGGGACCATGTGTTTCTCAAAATCTCCCCAACAAGAGGAGTAATCCGGTTCGGAAAACGCGGGAAACTAAATCCACGTTACATCGGGCCATTCGAGATACTAGAAAGAATTGGTCCTGTAGCCTATCGCCTTGCACTACCTCCTGAGTTATCTAATATCCACAACGTGTTTCACGTTTCAATGCTCCGACGGTATCTTCGAGATCCAGAACATGTCATCGATTATGAGAACTTGGAGGTTCGAGAAGATCTCACCTACAAAGAACAACCAGTGCAGATTCTCGATCATCGTAATCAAGTTCTCCGAAATAAGACCATACCGTTGGTAAAGGTCTTATGGCAAAATCATCACATCGAAGAAGCAACGTGGGAAACTGAAGCACAAATGCGAGCTAAATACCCGCACCTCTTCGAAGGTTAAGGTACGTCAAGTTTGAGGACAAACTTCTGTTGGAAGGGGAGAATTGTGACACCTCGAACGTTTAGTCAAGTCCATATAAATATTTATATTTATATATAATTATGGTTGCACGTGATAATAGATTATTACATGAATAAATGTATAAATCTAGAATGGCGTTGGGTTATTAATTAGGGATTATTATTTGAGGCTAACTATAAAATTTATAGTACAAATAAAATAAAATAAAATAAAATAAAAGAGAAAAAAAAAAGAGGGAATAAATAATAATATAAATAATAATAATAATGGGTATGGTAATAAAATAAATAATTAATTTTCTGTTGGTATGTGTTAATGTGTAATTTAATTAAAAAAATTAATTTACTTATATAATTATATTAACATATTGGGTCAAATGTAATTATCTTAATTATTTCTTAAGATAAGTATGAATCTCGGAGTGAATCAGAAATAATCTGGGGAGATAAGTATGAATCTCGGAGTGAATCAGAAATAATCTGGGGAGATAAGTATGAATCTCGGAGTGAATCAGAAATAATCTGGGGAGATAAGTATGAATCTCGGAGTGAATCAGAAATAATCTGGGGAGATAAGTATGAATCTCGGAGTGAATCAGAAATAATCTGGGGAGATAAGTATGAATCTCGGAGTGAATCAGAAATAATCTGGGGAGATAAGTATGAATCTCGGAGTGAATCAGAAATAATCTGGGGAGATAAGTATGAATCTCGGAGTGAATCAGAAATAATCTGGGGAGATAAGTATGAATCTCGGAGTGAATCAGAAATAATCTGGGGAGATAAGTATGAATCTCGGAGTGAATCAGAAATAATCTGGGGAGATAAGTATGAATCTCGGAGTGAATCAGAAATAATCTGGGGAGATAAGTATGAATCTCGGAGTGAATCAGAAATAATCTGGGGAGATAAGTATGAATCTCGGAGTGAATCAGAAATAATCTGGGGAGATAAGTATGAATCTCGGAGTGAATCAGAAATAATCTGGGGAGATAAGTATGAATCTCGGAGTGAATCAGAAATAATCTGGGGAGATAAGTATGAATCTCGGAGTGAATCAGAAATAATCTGGGGAGATAAGTATGAATCTCGGAGTGAATCAGAAATAATCTGGGGAGATAAGTATGAATCTCGGAGTGAATCAGAAATAATCTGGGGAGATAAGTATGAATCTCGGAGTGAATCAGAAATAATCTGGGGAGATAAGTATGAATCTCGGAGTGAATCAGAAATAATCTGGGGAGATAAGTATGAATCTCGGAGTGAATCAGAAATAATCTGGGGAGATAAGTATGAATCTCGGAGTGAATCAGAAATAATCTGGGGAGATAAGTATGAATCTCGGAGTGAATCAGAAATAATCTGGGGAGATAAGTATGAATCTCGGAGTGAATCCGAAACAATCTGGGGAGGGATTTGAATCGGCCACGTGTTGGCTGATGGGTGGAAGAGAGAAAAGAAGAAAGGAAAAGAAAGAAAGAAGAAAGAAAAGAGAGAGGGAGAGGTACGTAAATAAGTTGGGTTAGTGGAGTAAGGCTAAGGGTCACTATTAAGGTGAGTTATACTATATCTTGAGTTACCAAAATGCATTTTATTTATGTTTTGACTTACCAAAATCTATTTTATACAAGTTATATTTTGTTAGTATAGTAATAAAAGTTATGTTTTATAAAGATTTCAGTTACGTGGTTTTATTTCTGAACCCTATTTGCTTAAAAGGAAACACATGGATATGTTTGTTTTTATTTTAAGGAATGTTTGGCTATAACCTTATGTGAAAATATGTTTTGTGAATACCACCACGGGAGTCCCATGCCTTGGGGGACTTAAATAACCATTGGCTTAGTGATTGACCACTTTGTGGCCCAGTGTTTGTCATGGATCCATTGACCAGTGTAGTGCTAGTCACTTAGTGATGTACCGTGGTTATAGTGATTATTTCAGTTTCTGGCACTTAATTAAATTGTGTATTCAACTCAACTCAATTTATAATGTTTTAGCTTAAATAAATATCCATGGCTATTTTGTGCCCTCATAGTATAATATTTCTCACTTTGCTATGTGCTTATAGCTGTTACCCCTTTCAGGTGACGAGATTTAGCGGGATCAAGATGGAAAATGAATCGCTATGTTATTTTGTTTTTTTTAGATTTCTGTCTTCTATTATTAAACTCTTGTAATACATTGAAGCTCCAATGACTATGTTTTATTACATTTTAAATAAATAGTTGATACCCAGTTACTTATTTTAATTTATTTAATTTATCCGTTTGCGCTGTAACTACAGAATTATCCGAATTACCTTATCAGTAACTGCAAGTTGAACTCGACATTTCACATTTTTTTATGCAAATCAGTCCACCCTTTGTTAATGTCTACACTTGGTAACTACAAGGGTGGGGTAGTGGCCCATCAAATTCTTATATACAAATCCTGCCCAGCCCAACCCAGCCTGGCCCGGCCCAATTGATGTCCACCCCTAGTCGGTAACATCAAGAGTGGGGCAGTGGCCAATCAAAAACAGATGATGGTAGTAGAGTAGTGGCGCACAACGAAGAAATAAACCTTCTCGTATAATCCTGTTGATCAAGTCTGTGCTCCTCTAAACGTCGTCGCTTTACTCCCTAAAAACACAAACATGAGCTAGCTAGCGGGTGTGTGCCGGAAACCTCTCCGATGCTTAAGTCAGCAAAATAGACAAGTAGACAAAAAGCTTTGTGTATTCAGGAATCAAAGTTGTGTTACCTCTCCATAGGTGATATTGTAATGCTTTTATAGGTTCCGCGTGGCACAATCCTAGTAGGACTTTTACTCCTCCATGTAGAGTCCTCCTAGGATTCATACTCTTGAAAGATAATTCTTATCCTTCAACAACCCCCTCACTGCATAAACCAAGTGAAGTGGTTCTACCATGGTCAGACTTCAACATGACCGAGGTAAGCATGGCTATGTTGAGCCGCAAACTAGACCGAGATAACATTAGCTCGGCTCTTCCATTCACTGCTCTTACCTTGGCTCTTTTTAATGCTAACCACGGTATGTCTAGGCCGGGATAACCAATACTCCGGTCCAAACCGGGATAACTTAGTGAGTGCCGACCGAACTTACCGTAAGCTCTTTGGGACCGGAGTAATCTTCAGGTCTCTCGCAGACCGGAGTAACTTTACACCTCTCTTGGGCTGGAGTAACTTCGTGGCTTTTTTACTCAGCCCTTCGCATTGTGGCCCATAACGGCCCATTATCCAGCTCGGCCCAATTTTCATATAAATTACCCTCTCAATTTCCCCTTAATTCCATCTGCGCAACATGATAAAGATTACCTTGTCTACCAGGCGAGCTGAAAAACTCTTTAGCCTTTCCGACTGAGCTAAAAGACTCTATTGGCCTCTCCAGCCGAGCTAAATTCACTCCAGCTCTACCTGTCTAGTCAAAACGACTCTTTAATCACAGCAACTGAATCGTTTCTCATTCCAAGGACACGTGGCCCCCTTTGATTGGCCCAATGCAGCTGTCACGCCGTCTTCGAACTCTGTGAATTTTGAACAGTTCCCGCCTCTGGTCCTTGCATCAAAACAAAAACTCTTTGTTTTTTGAATCACTCACCACACTATTCATTTCCTCATCTCTCTTTCTCGTTCCTGAGCTTCTTCAACCCTGAACTTGCTGAGTTCGTGTTCTTCATTGTCGTTGCTTCCATCTCTGATTTCTTCCTCTTGACCTAGTAAGTTTACTCAAATCTGCCTTATTTTTGTTATTTTCACATTTGCTTTTACAATACATATATTTTGTGTGTTTTGAAAAAAACACACACCTTTCTTTTGTGTAACAGAACCTCAGGCTTTTTACGAATAAACTGAAAAAATGCTGATTTTGATCCAAAATCATAGTATAACCGAACTAAAAAGTCGTTTGTAGTTAATGTCATTCTAGCCAAACCATTCAACCGAACTAGCACTTCACGTTATATCATTAGTTTTAACAAGTCAAGCCATCTTTTGTTTTAACTCAGCCGAGCTAGCAATCCGCACTAAGTCTACGTAATAGTGCGTCTGTTAGTCTCAACCACGGCCGAGCTATAACTTGGGGCTAACCCAGCCTTCATAGTTCAAACCGAATTAAGAGCTTTGCCCCTAGAGCTTCAACCGAGCTAACAGTAACTTTTGCACAAAACGAAATAACAAACCCCTTGCACAAACCAAGATACCAAATTCTTTCTTCAAACCGAGCTAGGACTATATTTATCTTGCCCCTTTTTGTTCTTTTAGCACGGTCTCACGAGCTGTGCTTAACACCTCTTTTTTCACTTTGCAAACTTTAGGTTGCCCAGGCACTCCTTTGAGCGCTCAACCGAACTACTCAACACCTTTCTCCGACCAAGCTAACACAAGCTTAATTTATTCGTAACTTAAAAGAGAATGGGTAAATATAGGTTCTTAGTAGACACACCTGGGGGTTTGGCTGAATTCCGAAAGGAATATAACATCCCTGATGATGTTCACCTAACTTTGGCCAAACAAGATATCATACCTTGGGGAAACCCTGGTTTTGTTCCCTTCACCCTCCTGTCCATTGTAGAAACCGGCCTAAGATTCCCTGTTCAGCCCTTACTTTGTGAATTCCTTAGGCAAACTAGGATATGCCCAACTCAGCTTTCCACAAACTCATACTGCATAATAAACAGTATAGCCGAGCTAAACCGCCGAGCTGGCATTAACCTCGGCTTAGCCGAACTTTTTCATCAATATTCAATAGGATCAAAAGAAGATAGCTGGGTCTATTATCTAAGAATACGTCGTCGTCGAGAGAAAATAATAACGGACACACCGGATAAAGACTTGAACGATGATGATTTCTTCTAGGTTTCTGGGAACTTCGAAGACCAAGCAACCCAGATTCCTGGTGACCGAATAAACTGGAATAAAGGGACCATCGATATCATTACCTCGGCTTTATTGCATGCCTCTTTTTATTTCGGTTTCCTGTTCCTAAACCAAACTGACAATTGTCTTCTTTATGCAGACTCAGCCCACCTCAAGTCACTGTACAGTTACACTAACCTAAACACACTTCGCGCCGCACTACGGTATACTGAAAGAAGTTGGGCCAAGCTGCTCAATTTTGAACCGACATACAGATATAACAGTCGACGAAAAGCCAGAATAACAAACTTTTTGTTGGAGGCATCGCCTGAACCGGATCCAACCTTGCCACAAATTAACTTGGTCCGAACTACTGCTAAACAAGAGATGGCGAAAAGGAACAGAGTGAGGGCCCTCATAACCGAAACACATCCAACCGAAGTAACACCAACCACCCAGACTCAAGAGACTATGGTGGCTCTTCCGTCTCAACAACCCTCCTCATCTTGCCCCAGTAAGCGTGCCCGGACTACCCAAACCGAGCAACGCTTTGTTGACGAAGATGAAACCCTTCTTCTACCAAGCCCTCTACCAAGCCCGCAACCGGAGCATTCCGACCGGGCTAGCTCCTCCAAGTGGGCGCCCAAAATCATTTTTTAGAACCGAGCTATTCAGGATACTGACTCGGTGGTTGCTGAAAAGGATCACATGATGGCATTCAACCTTGCCAGGAGTGTTTGTCTCCCAGCAGACATGGAGCATCACAAAAATTTAACCGAACTAAAAGCCATTCGTTCGGCTACGAAATCCATAGTGCTTGTAAGTAGCTTTTTCTGTTGATCTCTCTAATTTGCACAACTTTCATCTCGGTTTGATTACAAGTCTCTCCTTTTGCAGGCCATACAGAAGAGCCACATCGCCCATAAGCGTGTGCTGGAACTTCGCAAGACTGCAAGGCAAGCCATGGCCGAGATGACTAATAAGACTGCCGAACTAGCAGAAGCTAGGAAGCAAATAGCCGAGCTAAATTCCGAGAACGGTCGTCTGGCCGGACTTGTTAGCTCGGCTGAAGCAGAAAAACAAAAAGCTGCAGCTGTGATGAAAGACAAATATCTGCGTGAGCTAGCCAAGCTCGACGGTAAGAAAAAGGCAGAGATCGCCGAGCTAAAGAAAAAGGCGGCTGATGCCAATGCTGAAGGTTTCAAGGAGGGGGAGGCCCTCTATATGCAGCAATGTGAAGTAGCCAAAGATTTGTTCTTCAAATGTGGTTGGAGGGCAGCTGTGGTGTAGCTCGGTTGTGGGCCTGAGACCGAAGTCTACAATCCTCCTCAGTACTTCATACCGAGCTCACTATCGGAGTACGCTGCATCAGTTCAACAATAGTTTCTTCAGGGTTCAGACGATGATGAAGAAACCGAGCCCAATGATACCTCGGTCGTTAATGATCCTGCTGATCAGACAGCTCGGTTGGAGCCAATAGTGGAAGACCTGACTAACGAGCTGCCGACCGAAACCATACTTCCTGCCGAGACCGAGCTCCCAACCGAGACCGGGCTTCAGG